GCGGAGCTGCCAGAGGTCAGGGCGGGGGATTTGGTGGTCAAGGCCTCGACAAATCCTGTACGCTGGCTGGGTGTCTGGTTCGACAAGAGACTGTCCTTCCGGCACCACGTCGACACAAGAGTAGCTGCGGCAAAGAAGGCAGCTCAACACCTGAGGCAGCTTACAAACACAAAGAGAGGACTGCCAGCGGCCGCCGTGCGAAAAGCCGTCGTCTCCTACGTACTGCCGATCGCGCTCTTCGGCGCCGAAACATGGTACGCAGGTATCACGAAGCCGGCTTCGAGACGCCAAGCGGAGACAGACACGAGTCCGCCTTTCCAAGGAAGACCCGTCAACACAGGCCAGAAGGGGCTCGTGCAGAAGATCGACAGCGTCATTACAGCGGCAGCAAGGATCGTTCTACCTGTCTGGAGGACAACGCCAACCAGTAGCCTCCTCCGAGACGCCGGCTTACCGTCAGCCAAAGTCGCCTTAGAAGGCGTCCGTTTACGGGCCGCAGTCCGACTACAGAGGATTGATCGCCGACACCCGCTAGTCGCGCGGCTCTCCCAGCAGGGACAGCAACAGACGAGACTACAACGGACGGCTGAACTTCTGCCAAGATGCGGAAGACCAACGTTCCTCCAATCACAGTACCTGCCAAGCTCACAGGATCAGATAGTAGTTCAATGCAAAGAAGAGGCTGCGAAAGCTTTCGAGCGCTGGCTAAAGACAGTACCGGAAAGCCATATGATCGTCTTCTCGGACGGCTCCAGGGCGACGAACGGAGCCGTGGGGTACGGCTTCGTCATCTACCGAGACTCCAAACGCATAGCGCAAGGGTGCGGCCGACTCGGACTAGCAGAAGTGTTCGACGCCGAGGTCGAAGGGGCGCGAACCGGCCTCAGAAGGGCTCTGCTCACCAATCGCGGTCATCCAATCCACATATGTATCGACAACACCAGCGTTATACAAGGCATCCGCGGCAAGGCGCCGGACTCGTCACAAGACGCGTTCCTCGAAATCCAAGAAGCGGCCAGGATATTTGATATACGGACGCACTGGTCCCCGGGACACCAGGGCATCGAAGGAAACGAGGCCGCGGACCGGCTGGCCAAAGAAGGAACGACACTGCCGGCGCGGATGGGTCAAATGGCAACACTAGCGGGCATCAAGCGGCTTGCAAGGGAAAAATTACAAAGCCAGCACAGGAGATGGTGGTATAAAGAGCGAAGGCCGCGGTACGCGGACTTGGGGCTTGAGGCAGCTCTGTCCAGCCCTCCTGAACTGGCCTTGCCGCGGGCTACGTTACATCACCTGCTGGCGGCACGATCGGGTCACGGGGACTTCGAGCAATATCACCGACGTTTCAACCACGACGACGCTCTAATGATGTGCTCTTGTGGAGAGGCGAAAGACGTGGACCACCTGGTCTACTGTCGACTAACGCTGGCGAGGAGGCAACGGTGGCCGACCCTCCACTCTCGCAGTATGCCCGAGCCCATAGGTCCTATGGGATCTCTCGAGGCCTACTTCAAGAGATTAATCACCGACCCACGAGGCTTCGAGGCCTTTCTCCGCGTGACGGACTTCTTCCAGAAGATCTGTCTGCGGTAGCAGCATCCACACCTAGGTAGATGTGAGTGCGGACTACAAAGAACCTCCCGATTCCAAGGGACGATTTGGGAAAGAATGAAACTGGGGCACCAGCGGGAACCGGGGACAGACAGAACGCGTAGTGGCCACAAGGCATGATTTGGAGGACGATGTAAAGAGACGACGTACTGTAGAGTAGGTAGCCTTGGCTCACGGCCCTCCACGCCATATACCCTTCGGGAGGTCTGCGGTAAGGGCTCTAGCCCGGCCGCCACGGCGTTAAATACAACAACAACAACAACAACATGTGGATGCTCAATGCACATATGGAGGACATACGCCGCGAAAACCTAAAAGATTGGCTACTATGGGCCTTGTTCGAACAGGACAACACAGCTGGTCGCCCTACCAAGGAAGTTGAAGGCGAACTCGAAGGGTATGTCGACGATACTGAAGAAAAGTTTGGGATCAAATTACGCCCGGGAAGAGGAAATGCTGAAGCCCTGAAACTCGCCTTCGACCCTGTCATTATTCAACACCGAAGCTTGCTTTATTACATGGTGAGTTGCTTGCATCTGTTGTTTCCCTAAAACTAGCAGCGATACATGCGGCTTTAACACAATTTTATTCTCTTCACCCTTTGACTAATCGATGTACTTTCGCTAACGAAATCCTTTCCTAGGTCATTGGACTTCTGGACAACTTGATGGCCTTATATCTTCTTACCCAAGGCTATCGCTACTACAAGCAGTCATTCTCAACCTTCTTCAAGGTCTTCCCGGTTCGATTCATCAACCTCTTCCCCTTCAAACAGTCCGCGGCGAGCAAAATGTCCTACTGGTATCGACCTCACAAGTCAGCAACGCAACGTCCTGTCGTATTTATCCATGGCCTGGGTATCGGCTTGATTCCTTACATGTTTTGGCTCAACACAATCCCCAAGGACGTCGGAATTCTAGCAGTCGAGATGCTGCCAATTTCTTCTCGTGTCACCACGTGGCCATTGCCATCAACACCCGAACTCTGTGAGATGATTGCAAAGTGTGTGGCGCAGCAGCGAGCTTCGCAACCAGCGCCTGGAGTCGGAGAAAGAGGAGCATGGGATGATTTTGTCCTTATCGGTAACAGCTACGGAACATTATTGATGGGTCAACTACTACAAAGAGCCGATTTTGCCCCGCGGGTTGCGGCCTCAATCTTGATTGACCCAGTATCGTTACTCCTTCATCTCCCTGATGTCGCTTTCAACTTTACTCGCAGGGAGCCTAGACCATCGACCCGTGGAAGAACGGGACACGGCAACGAATGGGAGATATGGTGGGCGAGTGCAACCGATGCCGGGACAGCATACACACTTGCTCGGAGGCTCTGCTGGAGGGAATCTCTTATGTGGCGCGAAATGCTCACTCCAAGCCTGCGGAATGTTGAGGCTGGCTACTATGCGTCTGGCTCCCCAGAAGAAATTGCGATATTCGGCAATGGCATTCAAGCCGGAATGCGCAGCACTGTTGTGCTGGGAGGAGAAGACTGCGTAACTAACCCAAGAGCAGTAGCAAGTTATGTCTATTCAGGAGACGTGAATTGGACGATGGATGATATAGAATCGTGGAAAGAGTACGAATGGAGCGGAACAGAGGAGTTGGAGCTAATGTTCTTGGATGGAAAGGACCATGGGCAGGGCATCATGGTTCCTTATCCTTTTAAGCCTATTCAAACAGTTATCGAAACATATTGTAGGCGGGATGATGGTTTTAAAGCGTTTGGGGATAAGTTCATAGGTGGACCTGAGAGTATTTATGGCCTGCGAGTACACAGAGACGAGGTTGTTGAGCTGAAGAACCTCTAAGTCGAGACTACAGTTAAGAATTGTTTCCAGTTCCAAACATTAAAAATCAAAAGCGACTCTCTCTTGATTATCTGAGACTTTCAACCCACTTGCCATTGAACTTGTATACCCAATGCCATCTGGACAGTGATTGTAAAGCTTTGTCAGTGTCAGGCTCGATGCAAAGTTTGGTCCCAAACGACGCAAATCGACAGAATGATCTAGTGTCGTGACACTTGCTCAGGGGTTCATTTCTTTTAGACATGAAGACAAAGCACTTATATCCTGGTGTAGTTGAATCATTGCATTTTATTGTAAAGTGTAATCGAACTGCCGCCGTAGTATATCCTTATTGACAAAACCACCACAGCCCATGATCATGTAGCTTGTGTCAAATGCTGTTCAATCTCACTTGATTATACGCGTTGGCCATTTGTACGTTTTGGAACAAAGAGCCTGACCACGCCTAGGAAGTTGGAATCTCAACTTCAATAACACTGAAGTAGTCTGGTGGCTTCCTCCAAAACTTGATGACTCTGAGACCGGCTGAGTCAAGCAAAGCCAACCACTGCTTTTCAGTGCGTTCTTTCCCAGATAGATACACCATCATGGCGATATCAAATGCTGTGGTATTTAGTTGGCTCTTACCGTCGTCTAGAACCTGGTCGTGAATGAGTAACCTGCTGTAGCCAGGTTTCATGGCGCCTTTCTGCATCTCTAGTATCTTCAGGGCCGAGTGATCGGGCCAATCATGAATTATATGGTGCATGTAATATGCACGAGCGTCTGTATCACAAGTCAGCGCCGAATTTGTACACAGCGATTCGTACAACGAACGTTTCACCGGTTGTGGCTCGAAAAAGCTGTATTCCACCTGCTTTACCGTGTCGGGAAGGAGCGCTTTATTCTTCGCGTCACTAATAACCGATTGAAGATCCTCGAGGTATAATCTTGAGCCTTCGTTGGGGTAGGCTTTGTAAAACCGTGAGAGATCATGCCCAATGCCGCCACCAATATCGACGAGAAGCGGAAGACTCGGATCTGATCCATCGACCAAGTTGCGATGAGGGTACATATCCATCCATGGTGGCTCTTTGTTCGTGGACGCCTTCTGTACGATATTGAACATCTCACCTATTTTCGGATTCTCGCTCAGAAACGACCACAGATCTCCGTTGTGCCCAGTAGATTTCCGAAGGATTGTGTCCGCAGGATCAGAGGGATCCTTATACCCTTTTTCTGCCAGATGATCGGGCAAAGTCCCATATGCACGGTGGCCTGTCACATAACTGCGGGGCTTATAAGTATGCAAAATCACTTCCACTTGGTTGCGCTACTCACTAGAAGTTGGTGAGAGTGTGGAAATCTGGTTTTGCTAGTTCCATGCAGAACTGGTTCGGCTTGAACTTTTCTATGGGAACTTGTTCCATAAGACCATTCGCAGCTAGGCTACGGAGAAACCTGTCTACAAACCATTTGTCAGTAGTGTCCGAAGATGCCGCTAAGGTTCAAGCATGATACCAATCAGACTTACGAAGAAGCTGAGGATCACAGCTCCCTACAAGGCCTGCGAGTTGAATACTCGTCATCGGGACAAATCCTTGTTCTTTCCACTTCATCATCAAATTCAAGTCTTTGATGATTTTGATCCCCGCGGTGACGGCCGACTAAGAAATGGTCAGCACCTTATGATACATAGAAATCTGCTCTGCGTGTTTCTTGGGCCGCACCTGATTTAAGTGAATTCTGACATATGTATCCCAGGGGGTTTCCAGCTTAGAAAGAACTTCATATGTTGCTAAAAGGGCCTTCATGCGATCCTCCTCTGTCGGAAAAGAAGATGCTGTGATACCCCTTACCGCTCGCAGGTAGTCTTGGCCGTAATTCGATCCGACGTTCATGCCGTTGGTTCCTTTCACTCCGGAAGCCATAATGTCTGGTTTGATCTTTCTTACGAGCGTGAAACGGGCAAATTTGCTAATGAATCAGTTGGATCAAATTTTATAGATGCCAGGATTCATCTTTGGTTTGTGAAAAGAATGAACAAATGGATGTATACGGCAAACCTGTAATACAATTATTAGCACCCTACTGGCCACGGCCCAAACTCCCTCAACCATCCCACACCATCAAAAACCGGCGACGGAGATTTTCACACGACCGCGCTACTTCAAGCGGAAGAGATAAGCCTTCGCGCGCCTTCGCTTTCAAGCCTGGGCCGAACTTCAGCCAAGAGACTACTAGTTTTCCGAGTCCAGTCATGCTTGCACCGCTACATCCGGAAGTCCGTCCAGGAAACAATTTCTGGTCTGCTCGACCCCTTAACGACATCGAGCAATCAGAATGCTTCATTGCTATCGGGAAATTGACCGGCACGCTGAGCTTACCTTAAAATGGCCGGGACTTCGAATGCGTTGTTTCGCTCGGCAACTTTGTTCAGATGTGTGGTATGGGCGAGCGCAGAGCTGCCAACCAAATCACGAGAAGAGATGTCGCACAGACTCTCGTCTTAAGAAACTCAAACTGTCTGATGATATGTGACCCAGCATTAGCTAGATATCAAGCGCAAAAGCAGCTAGTTCGTGATCTTTCACATGAATATGAAGACCTTCCGAACCAAACGATCAGCGCAATTACAGAGGGACGACCCGAGGCAAGGGCTTCATTTTGTTATGTATTAATAATGCATACGGACAAAGCCAAGCTGATCGCACGTAAATTGGAGATGATACCAATGGCTCTTGCTTCCTTAACGAAAGCACATCCAGCGTTCGCAATATCAGATCAAAACTTAGATCTTAGGTCAAATGAATGCAGGGATAATCCAGCAGTCGTTGAGGCCGCGACGTGCGCCGACCGCGCGGGAAAAGTGATGTCATCTGATTGCAGAAGGTTCCATCGGTAACCTCGCACCATTTCGCAGTTCACGCTCCCTGTTACATGGGGAAGATGACCTTGACAATGTGCCATACCCCCATCATGGTCTGGACGTTTCTATGCGAGTTAGCGAGGTTTTTGAATCTTCAGGGAAAATAACTTCGTTCTACGCCCGCGCCTCTGTATCTCTGGTAGGTTGAAAGGAAAATTATATAAATCCACATCCGAATACCACACCTAAAGCATCTGGAGATATCTATCAAGCATATACGCTTGAATTTGGTTGTCAACACTAATATTGTTATTCTTAATGACTATATTCCTCAAAGCGCATCCTCGACAAGCATGGTATCCATGAAAAAGGCGAGCTAAGGAATCTCCGTCCATTCGTTTAAAGTAGAGAGTAACTTCTTAAATTGATTTGTTAATACTAGCAACATCGTCGCCCCTATACATAACTTCGACTTTTTCCAGTTCTCTCATTCCCAGATATAAAGCTCCCAAAAATAAGGCATTAAATACATGGCTTAAGTAACAAGACTCGGACAGTGAAGGTGGACCAGAAGGCATGTGATTATTGCGGTCGTTTTGATTTGCACTTTCCTATTATAAGGAGCTGACAGCCACTGCTAGTTGTAGGGCGAAAGTTCATCACATGCAATGTTCCAAAAGGTTTGAACAAGACTGGGGAAGAAGAACAGTGGTGTATGGAATCAGACCAGAAACTCACCCACGATGAGATGCTATTTGCCACAGCATGGATTCGGAACCGTCGTTACGGTGGGGTAGCCTGAGATAGATTTCGTAATTTTATCATAAGGATTGCTGCTGATATTCGAGTTCAGAGCCCTGGTGAAGAGATACCAGACTGCGATCCAGGACCCGGTTTACCGGTTACCATATGGGAGGTCTTGATAATCAAGGTTACCGCGTGTTCACGTCCCTGCTGGATTCGCGTTCCACAAAGCTTCGTTGAACTCTAAACTTCGAACGCCTCGAGCTCACATATTTATGAGAGGAATAGCTTCAGATGAACTTCACTTGTCGCGCGCCATGTCACAGGCGCTGCAACCCAATGACTCAGTGTTATCGCTCCTCAGTTGCTCTCCGTCGGCACGAGGAAAGTGAGTTTGAAGGAGTTGGGGCAATCTGGGGAAGTTTCGGCATGCGGCATACCGGCAATCTGGACGTGGTACACGCAGGGCTTTATAGACTCGCGGAACCGAGAAGATGGCTAGGGATAACGCTCTATTACCTTGATCAACATCGAGGTATTGCCAGGTCGAAGAAGTCTACAGTGCGTTCGTGTACCAATCTACCACGTGCTGTGGACTGACTAGCATGTCACAACCTTGGAATTGAGAGTTCTATCCCGCAGCCTGTGCAAGGCGGAATCGAATGATGTTAACTTCTGGAACTACCCCAAAGCAGTCAATAGATTGTCCTAAGCCCTAGGAATGCCAACCATTCGTTCGCAGCTTTTGTCGCTGAAATATCTGGTGCAAGAGCTGCCCATCGCCACCACTGAGTGAGACAACCATCCAATTGACATAGGCAGACAATTCTATTGCCCTGACTTTTGGTTGTGGAGCTATCACTCCAAGCAGATATGGGGAGCCGCGAATAATACCATACCGTACAAGCCTGTTTCCGCGTATCTCCAAACATTGCCTTGTCGGGGTAACTGTCTGAGCAAATTTCTGCTTGGCATAGATATGATTCGGGTAATTTTCATGGGGAAGTCAGTTTACATCGTGGAAAACCACAGGGGCCACTGAAGTGGGTGAATTTTGCTTCCACGTGCTCGAACCTAGCTGGTCTGGATCAAGGTGACAAGCCCTCGCTAGGATACCGTTGAATTAAAGAAGTTTCAATCTGGTGTCTTCCAGGATTGAACTCTTCCCCAGATCCAAATAAAAGTCCAAGCTGCTACCTACCTTACTCACACAAGAGTTCCATGTGCTCACCTTAGTCAACAAAAATCGGAACCCTGGGCCAGCTTCGATGATAACGAAATAGACAGCCGACAGAGCAGCTGGCTCGCACATCGGACACATCATGGAGATCAACCCGGCTCTGTTGGAAATATGGACTTTGTATGCCGTTGCGACCTTAATGATTGCGGCGAGGGTGTTTTGCCGCACGAAGCAGGTGGGCGTGTCTGGATCCCGACCTGACGATTACATCATCTTCTTCACATGGGTATATCTTATCTTCCAGTCACTGGGATGGATCCAATTCCGACTTACACCATGGCAGTCCCTCTACACTTCTGTATGCGTGATGGCAACGCTCTTCGCGCTGATTGCCCAAGGCAAACACACCTCGCTCCTGACCGCGGAACAGCGCACGGCATTGCCAGAATCAGAATTGTGTGTGCGAAGGAAACCTTTTATTCTAAACAAAATCTGACTGAAAGCAGCTATCAGTGGGAGTACGGCTCGAAGAATTTCGTCGCGGGCATGATTATCTATGCGACAGTAGTGTGGTCATTGAAGTTCAACAGTACGTGGCATGCTGTTTTCGAGGCCTTCTTCGTGCTTAAACCTGCCTTCATGCCGCAACATATCTAATACATGATAGTGTTGTTTTTCTATCGAAGGTTGGTTGCGGGACAGTGGGTAGACAAGTTCATATTCCCTGTCATGGGTCTAGTTGGTGCCACAGCGGTTGCGATGGCTCTGATCATTGCCCTGACATGTCGACCTCTCTATCTCATGTGGCAAATTCGCCCAGATCCAGGAGGTACGTAAGCTTGAGTGGAATCCAATTAGAAAGCATTAGCTTACACGATCTGAAAAGAGAATTGTGTGCCACAAAACAAAGTTTACTTCTACAGCATCTTCGTGATGAACGTCATCACAGATCTATGCATAATTGCCATTCCTATACCCGTAAGTATCCCTCGGTCAAACCTGCGAACGGTCAATTAATTATCGATTAGGTGATTAGTCTCGTCAGAGCCTCGATATGGCGCAGAATCGGAGTGTATTTCCTTTTCAGCTTGGGAGTTTTCATCATGGTTGCTGCGACAATCCGTGTGGTTCTCATTTTTCACGTAAGACATCCCACTCCCTATTGGATTCCGAAGAGTCGCTGATTATGTATCAAGCCTACAGGCGGATTTGGCCCAGGGGCAATGTGGTCAATTCGTGAGGACTTCATTGCCATTTTCGTTGGGCAGGCCCCCATGGTGGTGCCTCTTTTCAAGCGGAGAGTATGGGCTCAATTCTATCACAAGTACAAGTTCACACCGAAATCAAGTCAGGGCTCGGATGGTATAGAGTTGAGTGATGGGATTTCCAGCAACCATAACAACGACAAAAAGAAGCCAAAAGATCCATACAGTCTTACACAGCTAGGGTTTACTCATGTTACAAATGCGACTCTTGGAACACGAAATGCAGCAACCTCAGTTGCGAAGAACAGCTCAGAAAAGTTAGCGGTTGCGGCGGAGGAAGTTTACATATTAGCTCCATTCAGAGACTTTGGGCCAGACCTAGGAGCAATAGAATTTGTCTCGAGAGAAGATCGGCACAGTCTCGAGATTACCACTGTGTCCGATCTCCCCAGGGCCGAGACAAGGAAAATGGTCAGCAAGAGAGGAGAGTTGTAATGGAAATTGGTATGTTGAACTGAGGATTGAAGATCTAGATATTTGATCTGAAAACGAGGAATTTTCTAATCAACAAGGAGCGGGCTATGTAGAAGCTCGAGCCGCCCAGAGCAACCGTTGAAAGATACAAACTCGACGCTCCAACTGAGCCCACCTTTTCCAACAGAGATCCTCCTGCTGGAATTGCCGTGAGCGCACTGAAACTAACAAAGAATGTCATTGTACCTGAAGTTACGTCAGTCAGACAACCATAGGTAAATTGGGGCTGGTGTGACTTGGTGCATCAACTTACCGTAGTATCTTCCGTAATCTTTGGGATCGCACGTTTTGCCCACACACACTTATTGCAAACTCTTGTTAGTTTCAAAATGAAATCTCGAAATATAGCATGCTAAGAAATTGCTTACCAGGAAGGATTGACAGGAACGAGCCAGTGCAAAATCCCCATAAACCAGCAAATGCGTAGAGAATTCCGGCCGATTGGCCTCCGAACGGGACGAACAGGCCTCCAGTAAAGATCAATGACAGACAAGTCATGAAGAGTATGACGTCGAAGTGGCCTACATAGTCACCCGCAAGTCCAGGGAGTAGGCGGCCTATGCATGAACATCCGTTGAGAATTGAGACCAAGGTGTAACCCATCGCAGACGGAAAGCCAGCCTTGACCGCGAAAGTTGGCAACAGCACGCCCACGCCAGTGATGGAAAACTCGTACAAGAAGAACCCAAGCGTGATGAAGACGAAAGGTCCCGACCGGAAAGCGTCAAAGTTGAGTGCTGCTGATTTCTTCTTCGACGACACCGCTGAGGGTAGGATCAGTTTTGGAAAGGGCAAAAGCAAAACCATGCCAATGGTCATGAGACCTAGAATCACGAAGCCCATGACCCGGTTAGACCATGACCAGCCCAAAGCCGGGAAAGCCCTGCGGAGGACTAGTGGAAAGGTTATACCACCCAAAGAAGCTCCAGCCATCGCTGCGCCCATCGCAAGGCCTCGACGGCGGATGAACAGCTTGCCTACTGCTGATATTGCGACAGTCGAGGCTACTGCGGAGGCAATACCTCCCAGAACACCCAAGCAGAGAAAAGTCTGCCAGTAATTTTTACACTCGGATAGAAGGAAGAATTTTGCGACGGTGAGCCCAACTGCAACTGGCGCCAGAAGCCTAGGACCATAGCGATCCATCAAAGGACCGACCTGAAAGCCACACAACAGCGAAAGAGCTGTGTCCAAGCCCGTGATCCATCCGATGTCTTGTGCAGAATAGTTGCTCAACTGATTTAGTTGAAGAAAAGATTGTACTGTCCCAATCGATTGGGAAAAGCCTAATTACCCATCAGTCCGGTCCAATCCATGGGTGAAAATGGGTACGGCCATCCTCTGGTGTTGAACTTACCGTATGAGCACATCAAGAATAAGCCAGCTGCACCAACACAAGACCATCGCAGTATTTCTGTCTCATCACTAGCAGCATCATTGTTGACGTTGAGCAAATCGTTGGTTTCGGTTTCTGGGTCAATTTGTATCGGTGTAATCGCCAATGTTGGGCCAGAAGACTCCCGTTCCCCCATGTTGATGGGCTGAGAAAGTTGACAAAGAAGTAACTCGACTGAGGTAGGATTGTCGTCATGAAGTAGTTGAGTACCTGTGTTTTTGACAAGTCCGTTGTTAAGTGGTGAGAATCAGGGCTTTTCACCAAAATACTTATAAAGCTGATACGGATTGTAATAATTTTTACCCATGAGCGCGCGCAAAAGAATTCGTTGTGCGTCAGGCGCGCCTAACATCCTGCGAGAGGCGAAGACAAAGACTTCGCGTAAGGGTCCAGAAGCATGCCGGTCTAAGTGACCCACTACGGAGACTTTTTCTTGCTTCTCGATCTGTCTACTTTCGATTATTTGTATTTTTGAGGCCCGTCAGTGACTCTCGAGATCGTGCTAACATCATTTCATGAGATGACAGAGAAGGCGAAGCTATAAACCCCATGTGGTAGTCGTCAACGTATCTGCGAGTTGAAGTGACTCGACTTACTTTCAGTAACCACATGCACATCAGTTGAGGTCAACCGCACGCGAAGGCCTGGGGTCCGGGTTCGGACCTAGACTTCACGTTGAACAAGCTTGCCATTAGTCGATGGGTCCGGCCATCGCGATTCTAGTGTAAGGCGCACTTGACACATCCAACGTCGGGCCAATCATGGAGAGCGCTTTGGTGGATCCCGTGTCATTCCGGCGCATGAAAGCGCGGATAGACTTCCGACGACTCTTCCACTCTTGAGCAAAACAAAGTCCAAGTCGAATGACTCCCCTGAGGGAATACCAATACGCAATTCACTTTGGACATTATTTCTTCATATCTTGATACGCCTTATCGATTCAATCACGCCCTATCAGCGCGATCTTTAACAGGGGCTTTGACACCCTTGACAAGTCTTACTGCTTCCCCAGATTTAGGCCGGGGGATTATTACAGTGGCTACGGTAGTGGAATTGAGACTCGACAGGATGGACAACTCGGATGAAGCTACTTCTTCGACTGTGGACCAATTCGTTAACCTCGCCGAAATCTCCCTGCCACAGGAGCCCGGGGCCAATTTCGCCATCGAGGACCTCGCCGTCGACGAAGCTCTATGTTTCACGCCCGTTGAACAATTTAGCGGTGAAAGCTCTCCGTTCGTTTTCGACGGAGCCCTTGACTACATCAGCGATAATCTCGAAAGCGGATGGACGACGCCCTCGACATCTTGTGCCAACTGCACTGCATGGGGCTATCAATGCCAGCTCCCACAACAATCCCAACCTCAAGACCGCTGTATATCTTGCGTGTCTCTCGGATGCAACTGTACTTTCTTACGTACCACGCCAAACTTCACTGGGGATGTTTTCAACAACCTCATGAACGACAGCCGGACTGTTACAACCAATGGTCAGCACCTCCCGACACCAGAGACTTCAAAGAGATCAAGCGGCTCGTTCGAGCCCCTGAACGTCTCCACTACATCGACTCCTCCTCCACCCAAGATTGGCACGAGATTCTCTCGTGACTCAACTCGGATTTTGAGACAATGGCTCTCCTCCCACAGCCACCATCCATATCCAAACGATGAACAAAAGAAAATCCTCCAGCACCAAACAGGCCTCAGTAAGATTCAAATCACTAACTGGTTAATCAACGCTCGTCGTCGCGGAAAAGTACAAGGCCGTCATCGATCTACGTCACCATACTCGGGAAACTCCGGTACTGTGACAAGACCTATCGATGTCCCCGCGAGGCCAGGAACACCAGCTCCTAGAAGCAGCCCACACTATCAGGGGTTGAACCCGCTCGAGAGATGGGTCGACTCTCCTCCAGAACACGAGCCTGCTACTGTTGGCGACATTGCACGTGCCGTAGCATCTACTCACGCAGGATCATCAGGTAAGTTTTGTAATTCCATAAGCGGCTCTTCATTGTGTGAGTATCAAAATTCTGGGGGATATCTCAAAGCTGATCCCTTGTAGCCGCAGACGACAGCTTCAATGCTAGCTTCACCGATGAGCCAGCACGGTCCCTTTATCACACGTCGTCAGCCAGTAGCGCTGGAACCTCAAGTGGCGGCTCATTTGCTTCTGCCTTCTCCCATGCTTCCAAAGACTCTGCTTCCCTTCCGCGTCCCGCTGTTCGTAGTCGAGCGCGGCAACGTAGACGTCCGAAGCGAACTTCTCTTGCACATCCTCGGAACCAGTACCAGTGCACATTCTGTACAGAGACATTTAGAACAAAACACGACTGGCAACGACACGAAAAGTCTCTCCATATGCCCCTCGAAAGATGGGTTTGCTCGCCCAAAGGGCCTCGGGCCGTCAATCCTGACACAGGCCAAACATGTTGTGTCTTCTGTGGAGAAGCTGAGCCTACTCAATCGCACATCGACAGCCACAATCCCTCATCTTGTCAAGAACGAACGTTCAACAGAAAGGACCACTTAAAACAGCACTTGCGTTTGGTACATAATGCTGGCCTTCTCGACTGGTCGGCTAAACTCTGGAAAATTACCATTCCAGAAATCGAGTCTCGTTGCGGCTTCTGCGGTGCATCTCTCGATACTTGGGGTGTCAGAGCTGACCATCTCGCGGATCATTTCAAGATGGGTTCCGACATGGCGAGTTGGAAAGGAGATTGGGGCTTCAACGATGCAGTTTTAGACATGGTTGAGAACTCTGTTCCACCTTGTAAGAGAACTCGAAATTGTTCCGCGGATGCCCGGACTAATCCAGCTTCCAGATCTCATCGAATATGAAAGATTTTCGCCGTTCCCCTACCAAGCAAGCGGCGTGCCTCCAGAATCGCCACGTAGCGCCTATGAGTTGCTCACGCTGGAACTGAACCATTTTCTACGACTATTTTTCGACAGGACAGGAAACTTGCCCAACAACAGAGAAATACAATTTGAGGCTTGCCGGATCATTTTTGCATCGGAAGTCTCATCACCGGAAGTTGACAAGGGTGCGAAACCCGAGTCGTGGCTGCGAGACTTGATTACCTCGTCAGAAGACCTTACTCGAGAGGCTCGATTTGGGCCGATAAGATCGCCAGCCGAAAGCATGATGTCTGTTCTTCAGATCAAAGGCAAGCGCAGTCTGTTTGACGAATGTCCTTGTGAATCGCAGCTTGATGCCTTTGTTGATAAGCACAGGCTACTTGGACCCAATGTTCTCAACAACCAAGAACTGCAGAACGAGGCTTGTAAGATCGTCACACGTCTGGGCAAGAGTTGGGGAATGTCCCCGGCCGACTTGGTTGTCAACTGGCTAGTCAACCTCATCAGCTCATCAACTGGCTGGCTTACCGCGTTTCGCTTGAGAACACGTCTCCTTCAACACGAAAGCTCAAATGTTCTGCCTCCATTACGACTTTCTGAGAAAGATCAACAAGTTGGACTCGGAGATCTCATAAATGGAAGAGCTGCTGCAGATGAACCCTTTGAGCCCCTGATTCCATTTCAATTCCAAGGTGTTCCTT